AATAAGAATTTTTTCAGGAAAACAAAGTTGTGGAGCACATGTTCACAGTAGCAGCCTTGATGTAGCCTTCAGACATTAGCTAAAAAACATGTAATTAAAATAAGCCTTTTTTTACGGGTACTTGAAAAAGTGTTTCTTTGAACATCGAATTTTCCTGACTTCAACTTCAACTAGCCAAGAAGTACGCTTTGTGAAAAAATACAACTTCTGAACTGGCGTCTGTGGTGAAGGGGTTATGCGCTTCGCTGTTGCATGCAGGAGTCCTGAGTGAAGGGAGTTTTTATTGAGTATCTTGGTCTTTCTACTAGGATCGTGTATCCCTCTCAGCCCTTGTTGGCTCTGACGGGCAGGGTGGAAGCCCGCCACCTGCACGATCTAAAGAGGTCAGTGGCGTAAAAACACTAGAAAATGGAAAGCGAGAAACATCCTCTGAAAATTTTAGATAGACTCCTTATTTCTACGAGCAAAAGAACTCATCACTACTGTCAGGTCACAAGGTGGCCTTAGTACAAAGAAATACAGTCCAGCATGCCCATAGCGAAATCAGTGAGACACGGAAATCTTTTCCTTATTGCCTTATGTATGAATTTTGCCATGTACATTTAAGGGGATCCACTGGTCAGATCAGTAAAAATTTTGAAAAAATATCAGTTTTCGGATTTTGGAGTATCCTAATAGATATCAATATCAAGGATCCATCTTTAGAAGCCTAATTCCTTTATCAAACTTATAAATAGCTGGAAAATGCATTTAAGAGAGGCAGCAATGTAGGAAAATCTTCACCAAAAATTATCTCTTTGCAGTTTTCTCAGAATTGTATATCTGACCAGATTGCAAAACTATATTGAGTAGATCTCAGAAAGTTACTGTCAGAAGTGTTTCACATTTGGACACAATCTTTTATACACATTTCTCTATAACTTTACAGGAGCATTTTTGCTGTTTATGGTACACATTTGGAGTTTTAGGCCTGTTTTATTTGACAAAATCTTAAAACATTGGAGACCTGAATGTAGTGCATAGCAAGGACTGTAAGGCTCACAAGTCAGTACAGAAAATTCAAATTTGGCTCTGTAAGGTTGTTCTACCTACCAACAGTAATCGCCATGCCAAATATTAGGCTTCTATCTTGATGAGTGTTGATGATTGACAAAATATAAAATTGGTTTTAAAAATGCTGAATCAATCCTTTATTTTTGATGGCTCGAGATTATTAAGGCTAAAATTTGAATTTTTTGCTTGGTAACCTTTTTTTGTACTATGTCACCCCCTTTGATGCAGAAAAGCAAGCGTTAGACCAAAAACTATAGCATTTGGGTGTTGACCATAGCCACACCCCCTTAAATACAAAGAAAATGCAAGTGTAAGAAAAATGTTGGGACCTGAAAATCTCATTGTTTTGTGCCAGTTTCGCTATGTGCACGCTAGACTGTATTGCTGAAGTCAGTTCATGAAAGCTGAAATCAGAACAAAATGATGAAATATCAACTCTGAGGAAAACTCCCGTGTTTATTTTGTATTTCAACAATAAACAAGTATCACTCATTTTTCAAAAAACATCAATTTGCCTCTCAATATATGCATTATGGGCAAATACTGAGACAACTGCCCTGACTATTATAACTCTTCACACATTTCTAAACTATACTCTCGGCGATCGTTTGAGCACTTGATAAACAATTACTGAAAACAGTATCACACGCCACTGGCTCACCTGGAATAACAATGCTAGAAATATCTTTGCTACATCTTTAGCACTCAACAAGAAAACAATTGCTAACCACGTGGAGAGCCCGTGCATGTATGCACCATCCACAGCACCGTGTGCCGCTTCTTTAAAACACGAGACATACACAAAAATATCGGCAATATACACACACCCATTTTCCTTGTAACAGATAGGTCTATTTTAAATGCAAGTTAATTGATCAAGGCATAACTACTACATACACACACAAGTTCATGTGCATTGTGAACACATTTCATCCACTTTCTGTCTCCCGGTTTAGACGGAACCCCAGGAAAATCAAATGTTTAAATACTGGAACTATTTACTCTTTCTTTCACTATACTATGTATACCAGTTCCTATGATCAGTCTAGACGGCTAAGTTTGAAAATACAAAAACTGAACAGATGACATAAAGTGTGGTAAGGGAAACAATAACCAGTTGACTGAAACGAGAAACTGACAAACCAGACAGACCTTTTTATACCCCTCTATTCTTGTCAAAAGGAAGACTTTAGTTGCCAAATTTAGAGAGAATGAGTCCTTTTCGGACTTCATATTCTATTCTAAATTGAAAACTATGCACACTTATGTGATTGTACTTCCGTGAAAAGACAATCATAACAATATTCTCATCAGAGCAAATTTGGTATATTTCAGATTCTTGAATGATGACAAAAATCTTTTTTTTTAAACGTTGCAGAATAATTTAAAACATTCAGCACTTATATAGCACTCATTGATAAGGGAATACTATGCATGTAATTCATCAAAAGGAGAGCCAGCTAGCTCTCTCCCGCTGCACTCTGCTCGGATTGTGTGTCGTAGATGTCAAACAGCTTGGCCACTTCGTAGAGATCCTCATTCTTAGCACCGTCTTTCAAAACCTGACAATGATAATAAGCATTACTCAATTTACTGACAAAGTTCAAAGCATATTTTTCTTGCCCTGTTTTATTAACACTAAGAGTCTTAAAATAATTTCAGCTTATGGACGCTCACTACACAGCCCACATTTGTTGGAATTATACTATTCGGCATGGATAACTCAACTCAAACACAAACACATCGGGAATTGACAAATGTGTTCAACACCTCCATATTTTGAGTTAAATGATAATGAAAAATTAAAGAGATGTCAGTTTGGAAACATGAAATTGAATGAGCTATCCGTGCCCTACAGAATTTTGCTCTCTACTGCATGGCGTCTGGCTTTGAAATGACTATCTTGTAGATCGTGAAACCCGTTCAAAATAAACATTCTCCACTTAAACCTCCAAATCTGCCAACCACCCATAATGTGTTTCATTTACACAAGTTGTCTTGCGTTACGTATTCCATTTTATGTCATTAAGTAAGGCAACAAGTCTACTTTGTAAATACCGGTATTTGTTTTAGTTTCACACAGTGAAGTCACATTCACAAAAGGAAGAAATTCTTTGGATAAAATGTGCAAATTTACTCGCAAATCATCAGAACAAAAAACCTGAAAAGGGGAATAATATCCCTGGACTGAGAGCTAAAGGGATTTGTTTGAGGGAAGAGAAGTCAATCGACACAATAATAATGGTCATTAAGTGAAAGGAAACAAGACAGTCAGAAACAACAGAAGGAAAGAAAAGAAGTTGGAGCAATCAGAGTCAGAGACACCCTCCAACCACCTGCAGCCCACAAAGGAACTAGAATATTTAAGTGAAGAAATACAAACATTTCGAAAAGGATAAGTTGACATGACAGACATTAGGTTCAACAGAAGGTAGGCCTACCATAGTGACAAGGTAAAAAAAAAAAGAGGCTGATATTCTTGATATTAACAATAAGTTGGGAAAAATAATAAAGGCCAGTCTTGATTTAAAATATATCCC